TCTATCTATCTATCTATCTATCTATCTATCTATCTATCTATCTATCTATCTTAGTCTATGCCAGTGGATACCGCCTCTGGATTAAACAAGAATGACTTCTATAAATTAAACAGAAGTGTTTCTCTACCCCCAATAAAAATTTGGAGAAATATTTTAAGAACAAAAATGTTCCATTCTTAATTTTTATATGTTTAAAATATATATATATGAATTTCTTTAAGTGCCACTTTCCAATGATTTGTGATTACAGTATACAGTACCGAGGACAATTTTTCTGCTTTGTTTGCTTTTCACAGAACATTTCTTTCCACTCTCTACTACAAAAACCTGAAGTAGCTAATGGAAAAATAGATGTATTTGATGACTGGGCAAATCCAGTATTGATTTTATTTATTCACACAAGAATTACTTTTTTTGTAGGACATTAAATAGCCGGGCTTATTCTTTAGTGTACAGGTTTACAGATAAGCCTGCATTTTCAGATACTTTCCCCAGATACCCAGAAATGAAAATACTATGAAGTACCAGCAGTCCCATGCATAGAAAGTATCTTACTGATATGACACACAGGATGGATGCCACACACTTGTGGGAATGTAACAGTGACCTTGCCCTTTACCATACATCGTTTTGCGATCTGGCCCCAAATGGTTAACCGAAAACTACAGATGAAATTGAAAGCGTAGAACATCTGCAGATCCTCACCTGCCTCCTGCCATAAACTCAATCCACCCTACCTGAAGCCAGGCTTTTGACATTTATTCAGAAAGAAAGTACTCAGCACAACCAACTATTTGGTTGGAGAGGGCGGGCTGAAGAAGCTTCTTGGATGAGAAGCGAAACGTCTTCAAAGAAAAACCAGAAAGTCCAGTTGTCTCTTGGAGAAAGAGGGGGGGCGGGAAAGCACCTGTGAGACAACCGTTTGGTTGGCAACCGGAGAAAGAGCGGCGCACCGCTTTTGTCCTGCTTTACGCGGGGCTGACCACGTTGCCACGAAACGAGCTTTTTATTTGCCGTTTTGGTGGCGTTTGCTTTCGATCCCTCCTCCGGCCCTCAGACATCAGTCAGAATTCAGCCTCTTCCCCCTCCCCCCCTTCGCGCCTTGAAGAGCGCCAGACAACTTTTCTCTTCCCGCTTAGCGAGGCTCGGGCGTCGGTCGCGCGCCTACTGGGGCACTCGGAACGCGCCTGAGGCCTCTCATTCGGCTCCCCTCCCCACCCCCTTCCAGAAGGAGGAGGAGGAGGAGGGAAGCTGCTCGCTCCCTTGGCAGCGGCCGCGACGCTCCGCCGGGGCGCTTCTGCCTCCCCCCGCCCCGTTTTGTTTGGAGAGGGGAGCGGGGCGGACGACATGCCTCAACTGCACAGGGCCCGGAGAATAGCCTGCGCCGAGAGCCTCCCGGAGGTCTCAGAGGGAGCCAAAGGAGCCGCTGGGCACGCCAACCCCGGCTACTCCAGCGGGGATGAAAAAGGGGAACCCTCCCAAGGGAACGACGCGGCGGCGGCGGCGGGGGACGTGGAGGACCAGCCGCTCCTGAGGGGGATTTTTGAGGTCAAGAAGAAGAGCTGCGACGTGGTGCTGAGCGCCCAGAGGCTTAGATGGAGCCGTATCACGCCTGAGAGCCCCCTAGGTGAGGGCTGCGCCTCTCCGTAAGGGTGTCAGTGAGAGGAGAGAGTTATAACGTCCCCTCCCTCTCCTTCTCCCTGTCTCCCCCCCCCCCCATTCCCCTCCCCCCAACCTGGCACAAAATTCCCAGCGACTAGATTTATCGCTACATAAGTTACTAAGCCTTCTTCGTACTGGCTGATTTTAGTGAAATCTGAACTCCTCTTCCCTGCCTGAGAAGTACAGGTAGTCCTCAACTTACGACCTTTCGTGCCACACCGTTGCTCAGGGAAACCCTGCAGCTGTTAAATTAGTCACATGGTTGTGAAGTGAATCTGGGTTCCCCATTGACTTTGAAGGCCGCCAAAGGCAATCCTGTGACTCTGGGACACTGCAACCGTCATACATGTGAGACAGTCGTTAAGCATCCAAATTTAAATCACGTGACCACAGGGGGGTTGCTCCAACGGTAGTTAGGGGTGAAAAAAACGGTCCTAAGTCGCTTTTTTCCAGTGATTTGGTAACTTCGAATGGTCACTGAATGAACTGTTGTAAGTGGACTACATTGTAGGCATTGTTGTGTCTTAGTTTTCTCTCCAGCCCCTTTTCACCGAATGGGGAGGTCAACGGGCATTAGTAGCAGCAAAGCTGAAGGAAAGTTTGGTTAACCCATGTTTGCCAGTGATGGGCTATCTAGAATGTAAAGTTGGGTATAGCACAGGGTACTCGCAAGGAGCGAGAATCTAGATTTGTTTTGCCTGTCTTTTCTAGCTGCAAAGGGATATTTGTGGTGGTGGTGGGAACTTCCACTTTCAAACTTCATTTTTACCTGAAGAATAACTTGCTTCCAATGTGAAGTTTAGGAGAAATACAAGCATCTTTACTGTATGTTAAGTTGCAATCACTTTTACCTATTTTCTCACTGCAAAGAGGACAAAAAATATGTAAAGACCTATTGAAGTCAGATGTGCCTTTCCGTAGTAAGGCTAGAAAGTGCAGTTTTGAAAGAACCTTGGTTTGAGTTAAATTAGTTTACCCAATGAAGACATGCAACTCCCCTCTCATGCAGTCTCGCCAGCAAAGGAAAGATTATTTTACTTGTAAAGGCTGACATTTCTCTTTGCTGCTTTCCAGTTGAGCTTTTTTTTTTTCTTAATCTTAACCCTGCCTAAACCTTAAAAAAAAAAAGGATGGCAGATTAGTGGTTGAAAGAAAAAAACATTGCTCCATTTTTCTGTAGAGGGAATAGGTGTCCCTTGTATTTGCTGTGGTAGGCAAGGTTTATGCAAATCATGCTGTTCTTCTTGCCTAATGCTAAGATCTGTGTGGTTGGAGCTGATCATGAAATGCAGTGTTTACTCCTGGAACAGGAAAGTGCAAATTTTCATCACCATTTGGAGCTTTGGAAACTTGGAGCTTTTCAATAGGAGATGGTTTATTTATTTTACAGCATTTCTAGGCCACCCAGTTCTCAATGGGTGTTGGGAGGCAAATAAAACAGCAGCACAATACACTAAAATTATGGTGAACACATCATGGCACCCCACTTCAGTTCAGAACAGAGTTTGTGGCAATCCTCAATCTTGTATTTCTTAGTAGCTTGGTGGTGGTGGGGGAAATAAGTGGTTTGGTAACCTAATTCCCAGAATATGCCTGCATAGAACTAGGATAAGTAATAGAGTGTCATTATGGGAAACTGCCAACTTACTCTGCAGGGCTGATAGAGTACTAGAGGAAAGCCCATGGAGACATGCCACATGATACCCTTAGCCAGAGTCAAGAATTCAGAGAGTTGGTGAAATCAAAGCAAATCAGGCTCTAACTACAAGCTCCACCCCTAGCAATGGAGTGACTATGTGTACTATTCAAAATAAATGAATGGGAGGAATTTACACATGGAAGTCTGCATGCAATCCACAATCTTGTGTTACTAAGATTCTGTTAAAATTCCTGTCATGTGAGCGGACTTCCATTTGCACGATGTAGGCTTTTTCTCCATTATTCTTGATAAACAATTAACATCAGAATATAGAGCAAACTTGTATCTTCAAATTTTAAAAATAATACTGTGTTTCTCATATAATAAGGCCAGGTCTTATTTTTTTTTTGAGCCCCGAAAAAATGGCTAGGTCATCTTTTCGGGGGTGACTTAATTCCCTCCCCCTTGCATCTTCGGGCGGGCGGCGACAGCTTGGATGTTGACCTCGGCGTTGGTGGGGCACTTCGTATCGGGGTCAACGCAGGCAGCACCATATCCGGGTGTGCAACAAAAGTACTTCCTAATGGCAAGCCCCCCCACCATTCCCCCCCCATTTTGCATGTTTTAATATAGGCCTTAATTTGGGGGGAGGGGCTTAATTTCATTTCATGCCTATAAAACATGCTGGGACTTCCTCTTGGGGGAGGCCGTATTGTTGGAGAAACAGGGTAGCAGTAAATTCATTTTCATGGAAACAAGGTTCTTCCCATTAAGGATACTTTAGAATATTAAAATATTTAAAATATGCCCCTGATTATCTTGCATTGTGGTTGTTGGGCCATATTTTATATGTGTTAATGTCCTATCCAAAATATTGTAATGTCAAAAAAACCTATATATTGAAATTAAAATAGTAAAATGATAGTTATCTTTGTTGACTTAGTCAGCATAGCAACTTATGGGCAAATCAAATACAGCTTACATAATTTAAAATGTGCTGAACTTTTTATATATTTTTAGCTTTTGCTAAATAAACTCTGGTAGTCTTTTGAGTTATTTTTATGTTCTTATGAATTGTTCTGTTGAAACAAATGTGTTACATTACCTGTGTGCTTGATACATCCATTACCCCGGCCCTGTACCATAAGGGTCTGATATTATATTAGACACCAGCTGATTTTATGATAGCATCAGATTTCTTTCACATATGTTTGTTTTGTCCAGATGAACTCAAAGAACATCTGTTACTTTTGTGGTGGTATCTGCTGCTTCCTTTCAGTATTTGACCTTTTGGTTAATTATAGCTAACAATCTGCAAAATGTTTAGTATTTTTCTCCTATGCGTTTTTTTGGGGAGGGGCAGAAATGAATTTTACTAACCTTAAAGTATCACTTGCATATTTAATATTTAATCATACAGACTTTTAAAATTGAAAATATCCAAAATATCAGAAATTAGGATTATGTACATTTCAGAAAAAACAAAGAAGAAGCTTTTCAGACCTTCTATGAGCATAGCATTCATTAAAGTAGCCCACCCTTTGAATGGTGTTTGTGTAAGCCTAAAATAGATGCAGATGCTTTAAAAGCTGACTCATTAAAGGTAAAGGAAACTCTTAAATCAGTATCATTTTTTTTTTCAAGATTCCATAGAAATCTGATACTGGGCTACTTTAAAGAACAGAGGGAGGTAGCCTGAAATATTTTTAAATAATGTTTGTAATGTACGCAGCTTTAAAGAGAATATTATATTTTTCCATTTTTAAATTACTTTTAAGACTATAAACATTCATAAAATCCCCAGAATTATAAAAATAGTTAAAATATTTTTAAATTATAGTTATAAAATTATAATTTTTAAAAAAATCAGAGGTACCAGTAGTAATTGGATCAGACTATAATGCTACGATCAGAAAAAAATCTGTATTAAGGTGATATTTCAGCGCTTTCAAATTTACCATTAGTGGAAGCCATGATAGTTTTATAAACTAGTATTTGATACTTCGAGAGTGAAAATTTGGGGGAAATCTAAACTCATAAAAACATACTATGATAATTAGCAAAATTATGCAGTACGCAAGCATGATTTCTAATTGCTCTGAACTATGAGTTGGGTGGCATACAAATTTAATAAATAAATGTAATAAATAAAATTATTATTTCTGAGCCTCAATGAGTTTCAAAATTTAATTCATGCCTTATGTACTGTTTAATACAGTATTATATGTAAACTTACTTATTGGCTATTTTTAAAAAAAGAGTAAAACTGATTTCAAAAATTACTCCTATGCTTACCACGTGGTTTTTTTTTAATAAATGGAAATGGATAATGTGGGTTTTTTTTTAATGGTACAGTTGAATTAGTTTGCTATATTCACTAAGTGGTGATAGCATCTGTAGTGTAAAATAAAGTATGCTTAAATTACTTTGCAGACCTTTTAATCTCTGAAACAACAGATGTTATGTGCTATCTAGCAATGTGTATCATGGAAACAGTGATTTTTTTCAGGGAAATAATTGATGAACAAATGACATAATTACTGACCCCAAGAATACATATTTGTTATTTATTGGCTTTGGTTATGATGATATTTTTGGGAAACAATATTATATAAAATATGAAAAGAAATACTGGAAAAAAAAGATGGGTTATAACAAATGCATATTTTGGTATTTTCCCTTAATTTTCTGATATTTCTGTGCTAATGATTATGGACTGGAGCCTAATGTTCATACACAGATGTTAATCAGCAAGATAAAGCCATGTCCTTGTTACAGGTTAATAACCAAAAGGAGAAGGAAGTCTTGCTTAATAGGAAGCTGTGAGATGATAAAAATTGGAGGAGCTGATTAAGCTGGTTTATAGTTATAAATATGACTTTAAATATGACTATTGAAGATTATCAGCTGTTTTACCTCATGATCTCACAATGTATTGTATTTATTAATCCAAGTTTCTTTTGTTACAACAGTGACAATAGAATAGAAATATATCTGAGCTTCATCTTGGCCCAGTTGGCTGGGCTTTCTACCTGCCAAGATGTGCCAGGGATTTGGATGTCTTGTGGGCAAGACATGAAATATTTTTTTGTCTTGCTTTGCCAATATAGAGATAATCCTTGTTTAGAAACCAACAACTGTTGTTAAGCGAAGCAGTCATTAAGTAAAATCACAAATATGCTTATGATTTTACTTCAGCTTTCCTTTGCTTTTCAGACCTGTAAAAGTTGTAAATGCAAGGATTGATCATAAAGTTACTTTTTAATCACCTTCATATATACAAACAGCTGAATGAGGCATTTGATAAATGAGGACTATCTATAGAATTAATAAATAGGTTTCTGTAGGTTGCTGAAATCTTTTCATGTATCCAAATATACAATGGAAGGCATTGATTTCGATGGATTGACCAGTTGAATTCCCATTTGTTTGCACAATCCACTAAAAACAGTAAAAGTGGCAACAAACTGCATTGGATTATGTATTCTGTTTAGGTTTATTCAATTTTATAAGAACATATAGTACTTGAAGAATGTACATTCAGAATTATATTTCTTCCTATCCCCACCCCTACCCCCTAATATCTCAAAAAAGTGTAGAGTACAACCCCCCCCCCCCAATATTTTTCAAAGTTCATGTAGCTTCTTTGATTCTTTTGTTGCCTGGCAGAGGTGGTATTTGTAAAGATTTGCCAACTTGCATAGTCTTTTTGGAACTAAAAAGAAGACGTTGACAGAAGCTAAGCTTCTCCACCCACAGATCCAACATATATTAAACCATGAAAAAAGAAAATCTATCTATATGTCCTTGAAGGTAGTAATTTGTTTCAGATGATATGTACCTAAAATGGTTCTCTTTATAAAATGGTTTCCTTCCTTCTCTCTGATATTTGCATGCCAAGTTTAAAAAGCAAAATACAAAGAATAAAAAATCTCCTTTCCTTTTTATCTCAGAGACCAAATCTCAGAGGAGTAAAATATGAGTGGTTAAATAAGTTTGGTTAATAAATAAAATTAAAAATTTGAAATGTTTGAGAAGGTTCGGTTACTTATGAATGTGATATGCTTAACTAAAGTGCTTATTAACACATGCTGATAGAAATTAATATCATAGCTAACCTTATTTTTCTATTGTATTTGAAGAAGTGGACATGTGCAGAAACTGTGAGTACAATTAGAGTCAAGCAGATAAATCCACCTCTAATCCTGTTTATGCTCTACATCAGGCAGATGTGCCAAAATTGATGTAGACAAGCTCTTGGCTTACAGTAATATTTTAAAGAGCTATGTGGCATTGTTTTTGCTGAGGTCTTAATGTTAAGTGTGGTTAAAAAGAGAAGAAAACCTAGCAAGTGTAACCTACTTTATGAAGGTTTGTGGCCTGCTCTTATGGTGACAATAATAGCAGAAAAGAGTATCTTTGTTCCTTGTAATTAAATTGATTTTAAAAATACAGTGGGAAGTGGACACTGAATCAAGTAAATAGCATGATATCTAATGTGTACTTAAATCCCCTGTAAGAACAGATGGCACCCTGTATCCTTCTAGGTAATATGAGAGGAGAGTTAATGTTTTGAAACAGCTAGCAATATTAGTATCATACTAATGAATGGACAATTTTAAATGGAAAAGAAAAGTTTGCACTATAAATTTATAACCCAGTTTTAATTAAAAATTTAAAAGTTTTCATTGTTTTTAACTGAACGAGAAATTGATGGTGAAACTCCATTCTTTCAGGGGAAGTTAAAGTTTTTATAATTTCCTTCTAATTAAATTTGTTCATAACTGTTTAAAATAACATTGTAGTCATTTGAAATTGTGGCTAACATTACTATGATGTCCTTCTTTACAGAAAAGTTGTAGAATTGTCAGTTCCAGATAGTAGTCTCCATAAGACCAATTACATTTGAACTTCAAGAAGTGTTTGTAATACACTAACCATGATCAGCATTCTATTCTTTTTAATGGCTAACAAATAAGATCACTAGGGTTTTTGGGATGTGGTGGCAATAGAAAACAACACAAGATACATTCAATGTTTCTCTAAACTTAATGTAATAAGGAGATCCCCCCCCCCCCAAATTCTTCTTATCAATGATTTTGTTGGCTGTAGACCTTTGGCTACATCATTCAGTCTGCAGCTAGATGAGTCTTAATGGCTAAAAAGATGTATGAAAATCAGATTATTTAGGGATGTGTAAAGCACCTTTGGAAAAAGCACCTTACCTGCATAATTGAGAATCTCCACAGCCTGCCAATAATTACTTCTTGCAAACTTATACTTGTGTCATCATGAGAATAAATAACCCCCCTAATGTTTCTAGTGAACAATCCAATTGTGTGTGTATGTGTACAAATACATAATACTCTCTCACACTTATATACTAAGAACTGTAAATGATTAAACTTTATTTGTTGTTTTCCTTTTTGCAGGAGGTTCCAGTATTGGTTTACACTGTAAGGAAGAATCTGTTGAAATGAAAGATGTATTTTCCATAAAATTGAAACGTCGTCGTTTTGCTGGGCAAGAAAAAGGAGGCATACTATTAGGAATTACTATTTTTGTGTGTCTAAATAAAGAAGGCAATAAACTTAAAGATGCCACCATCCATCTAGGTAACATAAGTGAAGACCATTGTTACTTATGGTATAGGTCTTTGAAGACAGTTTTGATGGGTAAGTAATTTTCATATTTTCAAAAAAAATTGTGATAAAAGATGTAACGGCAGTGTTACTGTTTTATCAAACAATACATTCTATTGACTTTAGAAGAGTTTATGTCCAGGTTAGGATAATTAAGATTTCAGTAATTTTCCTAGCCATACAATAAATCTCTTATAACTGATTTCATGTTGATATGGTTATTATGATTTTTATTATTACTGTTATTGTTTCCTTGATATACTGCTTCACATGTTAAATTACATGGATTTTATTTTGTGTATTTGTGTATTTGAAACTCAGCTCTTTTCTCTTTCCCTGTGTTCAACAGGAGATGAGAAACCTTTCCTTTTGTTTCATTAGCTACACTTTCTTGTTATTTCTGAATCCTGGAAAATTATATTATCTTCAGGTCATGCATTATATTCCTGGCTTGTTTTCCTAACCCATGGGTGACCAACCTTTTTACTCCACTAAATTTTATTTGTACTGATGAGTAAAATACTAGTTGTGGCAACAGATGTGTTCACACCTGATGGACTTTAGATTTCTTCTCAAGATTTACTGTGCTCTATCTACCTGTCTGTATTTCTGACTGCACAAATACAAGTAGATTCTCATTTTCCCTTGGACGTGCACTGCAGCTCTATTCCTGCTTCAGATTGATTGGTACTTGGGAGTAGAAGGCATGTGGTTGAATAAATGTGTTCTTGTTATATACATTTCCCCTTCAATAGATACTATCAGCAGTGCTCTTCCATAATTTTTGTACCAGTCTGATGGGCAGAAACTATTTGCTTAGGAAAGTGACCTGCAACCTGCATCCAGAACTCATTGTTCTCAGATAAAATAGAATGAATAAATTAAATAGTGGAAAAGCTTCTAGTCTCCTTACCGCCATACTGGTAGGATGAGTGGTAGCTTCTCACCACCTATTCCCATAGTGTTATGTTATAGTTTAGCAGTAATGATGGATTGTAGTTTAATGATAATGAACTGTGTTCATATTATCATGCCATATCAAATTAGTCCAATATATGCAAAAATCTCTTGTCCTTGCACACAGTCACTTTGTCTCAAACTATCTTGGCTTGCTCTGAAATTGGTATTCATGGTTTTACCTACAGGTAATGGATTATCATTTAATGGATGTTTAGAAAAAAGACCTGCTAACCCAGAGGAAAAGATTAAATATAATTCTATTCTTTTTGATGCCTCTTTTTGATGCTTTTGGTGAATTCTATTTAGGTGCTGTGCTCCAATTATTTTTGCATTTGTTTTATACTACTGTTTTAGAATTAATCTTTTAAACCATTTTTAAAATGGTTAAGCTGATTACTTTCTGTTTTGAAAAAATGAATGTCTTATTTTTAAATGATAAGGGAGATTGTGTCTGACTTGGGCAACATTTTCTAAATCATGTTTCCCATGAATTAATTGCTATTGTGAAGCCATCTTTATAATAACTAGTTCTATAATACCGTGTTTCTCATACAATAAGGCTGGGTCTTATTTTTTTTTGAGCCCTGAAAAAATGGCTAGGCCGTCTTTTCGGGGGTGACTTAATTCCCCCCCCCCCCTTGCATCTTCAGGCAGGCGGCGACGGCTTGGATGTTGACCTTGGCGTTGGTGGGGCACTTCGTATCGGGGTCAACACAGGCAGCACCATATCCAGGTGTGCAACAAAAGTACTTCCTAACGGCAAGCCCCCCCACCATTCCCCCCCATTTCGCATGTTTTAATATAGGCCTTAATTTGGGGGGAGGGGCTTAATTTCATTTCATGCCTATAAAACATGCTGGGACTTCCTATTGGGGGAGGCCATATTGTTGGAGAAACAGGGTAACTAGTTCTCTGTTGTAACTGAGTTTATGCAGTATTGACTTATTTATTTACTTGTTCAACCATCTGATTTGGATGCCGCTTGACTCCAAGTGATTCCACACAGCTCAAAGAAGAAAATAAAAAAAAGCATGACAAAAACACAATAAATAGGAATAGAAGAAAAATAATTATTAAAAAAGATAACTACAAGATCCAAAAATCCAGACAACACACCAATACATATCCAAAATATTACACCTCAAATAAGGGGGCTCCACCTCCTCCATCCCACTGTTTGGGAGAACAAGACTTTCAGGGTCTTCAAGAACATCATCAGGATTATTTTTGTTTGTTTTAGGGGTCTATATCTTCATTGACACAAAAGTTTCTCTATCTCTGCATTTGAGAAGTGAAGAAATTGGGAATGACTTTGTGGAATGACTGTCTTTCTCAAATGTTTCTCACTGCTCCCATAAATCAAGATCTGTAATGCCATAAATATTTGACAACAGTAATTCGGTATCCTAGAAAAAATATAATGAACAATATTTTTGTTATCTTTTGGTCTAAAGACCAAGAGCAAATTTAGAAATAAAATTAAAATAATATTAACATGAAAAAGCAAAGTTTAAAATTATGTTGCAAATTATGTACTATTAAAAGTCAGATAGAATTAAAATGTTTTTGCCTCCTTTTTTAAGTGATTAGGTTTATACTCCTAAGGGAGGAAATTGTATGACTGAGAATTGTACCAAAAACCTCTTCAGCATCCTTGATCACTCCTGCCATTTCCTGATAGCATTTTGCGATTGTGGTACTTTGGTTGAATCTTATTAATCCTGCTTTAATACACATGATTGTGTTCTCATTTATTGAGTTCTTCTTTTATGCTAATTTCTTTTCTTCATTTTTCAAGTACTGAAATAGAATCATATATAGTTATATAAATAGGTACTTTATATTACCTGACCTTCAGTATCTTATTTTGTATCAAAAGACTGATTATCAATTTGAATATTTATAATGTTCTTATTAAGTCCATGCCTGTCTAATGGCATTGTAAAAATAAATATTACTATATCAAATTGTTATAAATGTTGGTTTTACAATAAAAAACATAAAAATAAAAATGAAAGTTCTGTAATTAAAATTGAATATTAAAGATTCTGATATTAAGGATTATGTTTTATACCTTACAGCTCATTTCTTACAAAAAAAACCTAAGGTATTTATCATTTCTTAAATATTCATTATATTGGTTTTGCACATGTCCTAGAGACACAGCAATAATACTTTTGTTGATGAATAAAAATATCTACTTTGATAATATTTCTTTTGTTTATATTAAGTTGACAGGTTTTAATATATCAAAGATGATCATGTTGAACTTTATTATGATTTAATGTTGTATATATTAGGCTTTGATATTTACAGTAGTGCGCATTGGTGTGCCCCATTAACAATTTTCAAAATTTTGAAATTAAAAATAGGCTTTGCAGTTCACTGGGATACAATTCTAAAAATATTATGATAGATGTTGATTGTTTTATAAAATACTGCTATAAAATATTAAAACCAGAATAGGGTAGTTTCAATGCTTTCGTTGTATCTATGATAAAGGTTTCTAAGATGAAACTATATCACTTGTCCTATCTTTCAAAATCTTTCAAAACAAAACATGTTAGCAATATATATTGTTCTTTTCAGAATAAAAGTGGAATGGTTATTGATATGAGCAAGTGTTATTAAATCTCTTTTACAGGATGCTTCCCATACCAAGCTTTAATACGGGTGTCTAAAGCTTCATGCATGAAGACTTAATTATCACATGAATGTTATACATTAACAGTTGTAGCATCAACTGTGTTTTATCTCTAGTTAGCATGAAAAATGTTTATTCATGTCCTTATTACTGTCTCTATGTAGCAATTTTCTTATTGCTGGTGGTATAAAAGATTAATAATATATATGACAGTGACATCATTTTGGGCTCCTAACTTTGGTAAACATAAACGTACTACCATAAAACCAAATACTGAAAGCAGCACAGATGTGTGTTTGAGGGTAGTGTCCCTGCTGCCCTAGGAGCCTTTGTTTTCAGAACACCCTGATTAACCCCTACTTTTCATGGTTCATTGATTCATTCACTGATAGATCAAGTTTAAACTAGTGCATATTAGCACATTTGTTACCAGCAGAGGAACAATTGGCTGTTCTCTATAAAAGCACTACTTTGGTTTGGGGAAGAAAGCTACAATAAACTCTTAAATTAAATGTAGGTTATGATGCTGCCAAATCTGTACAGTTCTATATGTTTGCAGTGAGAGTTGAAATACTTAACCATTAATATTTCAACATATTAAGTTGCTTGTTAAAAGTTGGCAGAATAATCTCATTGGCGAAGAAGAAAATATGTTAGATGATTTTATGCCACCCAGAGCCACTTTTAATATGGGCAGCTGTGGAAATCAAATAAATTAGGAAATGCTCAGAATATTATTGATACTTTGATAAGGTATTTGCTGATTTAAAGTCCAGTGCTATCAACCTTAGCTATTATGATTCATCAGACTAAGAATAAGCCTTGTGTCTGCAAAATCCTTCCCTGGCACTCCCTCCCTTGCCCTCCATTTAGGTTATTAAATGCAATGACTGAAGGAGCTTACCCAAGTAATGTGAAGGGCAGCCCTCCTTTCCCATCTCCATGCAGTGATTATTTTATTAGGACCTTAGTTCCCAAATCTAGAACTCTTCTGTATGGTTCCTAATGTTCATTTGATTCGAGTCCACTCAGTCCTTCCCTGATCATTTCCTTAACTCAAAATCTAGGTACTGCCTCAGATACACTTTTAAAAGTTATTTACAATCCACTTCATTTGTTGTGAAGAAAGACAATCTTCCCACATTTAGAAATGCAGAGATGAGCATGAGACCCTCACAAATTGTATCACCCTCCATAAATGAGAATGATTGTCTGTTGCAGAGGGCCTCTTTTATTTCTTTATTGAAAGTTCTTCAATATAAACTTTGTTAAACTTTGTTTTTTCCAGAGACTTTAATTGTATGACCACTTCAAGAGATAAAACAAACTGCCTGGTGTACATCATTCTTTATGTAAGGCAGATAAAGGAGTAAAGTGGAACTCTCTGTGCTTTTCATCATCCTGGAAGAGGCTTAATCAAGTTTGTCTGACTGATTAATGCTTATCTGAAATGAGCAAACTCTATTTGGATTTGTTTTTTGTTTAATTGGAACAAATAATGGATTCTTCAGTTGGAGCTAGTGAAATGATGTAGACTTAAAATTCATAATTGCTTCAAAAATTTATTCTAAAAAAATCCCAAAATAAAATAGAACTCCCAGTTCTTCAAAACTAGTTCTGTTGCTGATTACAGGTATAAGTAAAAACATAGTTATGAATACATGGATACATATAAGAAAAAAAAACACAATAGGACAAGAGACGGTAGGCACGTTGGTGCGCTTATGCACACCCCCTACAGACCTCTTAGGAAAGGGGTGAGGTCAATAGTAGACAGTCTAAGGTTAAAGTTTTTGGGGTTTGGGGAAGAAACCACAGAGTCAGGTAGAGTAGACTATGCCAATTGCGTACCCTTGTCACAATTTTTCCCAGTCTAGCTACCTTCTAGATATGTGTGAACAGTCACTCCTAGATGTTCCCAGCTAGCACAGCAGGCAGTGACAATTCTGGGAAGGTCTGCACAACTGGAGGGCATGGTAGCAGAGAAATGTTGCTTTTTCAGAACTTATTGTACATGAATCAACAGTTTCAACATTTTTAAAATGTGGATATGAACATTTCTATTCTACTCAGCAACTTTTTTCATGACTCCCAATTTTACTTTAGTTGAACTGTAATAGTATTGTATTATTATAATTATAGTACAAAAGAGAAAAAATTGAATTGTTTCATTATAGCTTCTACATATGTTTACCCTTATAGTTTTTCTTTTTTGGGGGGGTGGGGGGGTTAGGATGGATAAATTGGAACATTAACTTTTATACTGCAGAAGAAATGCCCTTTTCCTTTTGAGAAATTGAACCAGAAATAAATATGAGTAGAATTTGTGATGAATGAAATTGGTTTTGAGATAAAGATAATTAATAGTGTATTTTAAAAAATGAAATAGGAAAGTAACCTTAAATTTTATTTCAAATGTGAATGAAATTGTTTTGATTTTTGCATATCCTTTTTAAAATATTTTAATCAAGGGCAGATTTCTTTTGCACCTGCTCCTTCTGTGTGGCATGATACATAATCTGCAAATCCTGAAAATTGTAGTATCAAATCTCTGCACCAACTGTGAAGGAGTACTATTATCAAATCCTTGCTGAGAGGCACTTCCTCTTATTCTCCCAGGAGAAAATTCTCTCCTCAATTTATCACTCTCCCTCTTTCAGGTTTGAACTGTGACCTAAAATCTTTTTTTATTATAGCTGCTGCATAATGCTCTTGACGGTGACTGACTCAAAGTAGTATTGTCAGCTACAAACACATAAGTGGGTCAGTGCTCTAGTTGTATCAGGATTATGTTGGAGTTGGATATAAGTAATGAACATCCTAGCTCCCTCCCTCACCCCCTACTAATGTTATGAAGAACTTTAAAAGCTGTATGGTTCCAAAAATGCATAAATATCTGCCTGTTACCAATGAAACTCTACTACCTGTTATCAAAGGTGCTGTGACATTTGTTTGTTTTTAGGGTTTCCAAATCGGCCAAAGTCATTAAAAGTATTTGTCAATCCAACTAGCCATAAAAAAGAAGCTACTCGGATTTATTATGAGCAAGCTGCTCCCCTCTTCAAACTGGCTGACATTATGACTGACGTTACTGGTAAGATGCTTTAGAGACTTTGGTTTAATCCATTAGTACATTGCATGACTCACTAATACTGGAGATATTTGTGTTTCAGTGGATAGACTGAATTTTCTAGGGCTTATTTTGGGAAAGGAGATGATACTACCAATAGTAGGAAAGCAGCCTGTCAATTCAGAGGCCTGTTTGCACAAGTTCGCCCCTCTATTGAACAAAGCACATTGCTTATCAGAGAGGGGACTTATGTTCTATGAAAGTCCCTTTGCCTATTTTTATTTTCATTTTGGAAATATGATGTTGGCTTTCAAAATTTATTGAATATTAGACAAGCCATGTTCCTTTGAGTCATCAGAGATATTTCCTTACCTAAACAGAGAAGCAGAGTGACCACAGGTGGGTAAAAAAGCAACGGGAGTGGGAGCAACTTCTGACTCCCTGCCAGCTTCCCCATTGAATTACCATGTAGGAAGCTGGAAATCTCCCTTTCTCTCTTCCTCCCTCCCTCCGGGGGCAGTTGGGTGGATGGCATACCTTGGGAATGGTGTGTATGGGTTCCTTTCTCCCTCTTTCTCCCTTCCTTCCCTTCCCATCAGGAGGGTAAGTGGCCATAGTTGGATGGGAAGGGAGTGAAGGATTGTGTGAGGGGCTGGGAAATTGGAACGATTTGGAACGATGAAAATGATCACATGACTATAGCAGCAACCCAGCAGCACTGAAGCAGCCATAACTTGCCCAAATTTCATTTCCTTAGGAGTCACAGGTCCTAGGTTTTGGACACATAATGTAAGTTAGTCCCTTTGAGGTACTTTGGTTCAAAAATGGTGTGTCACATCTGGTTTAGTCTATTGTGGTGGATAACATTAATTACTAGTTTTAAAGTAGAAGTTTATTAAAAATTTTCATTTGAGACATTCACATTAAATATATGCCATATATTAAAATTCTGTGATATGTAATAATAATTCAAAAAATACTGCTGGGTTTATTGGCTAGCACTCCTCCTTCAGGAGAATTCAACAAATTACAAAAACTTCAGGTTTATTGAACTACCGTATTTGCCGGCGTATAAGACGACTTTTTTGCCCCGAAAAACATGCCTCCAAGTGGGGGGGTCGTCTTATACGCCGGTATATCCACTGCCGGCTTTTGGATGCTTGTTGGACGCAGCGAAGGCGCCTCTGGCTTCCTGGGTCCCCTGCGTCGCTTCCGCTTCATCCTGCTCGCCTCGCTCCGCCCGAGGCTGCAGCCTTCCTGCTCTTCCCACGGCCCCTGGCACTCTGCCCTGCCGCTGCAGCCCCGGGGATTTCTGGAGGGCGTTTCCGGTGGTGGTGGGGGGGTCGTCTTATACGCCGGGTCGTCTTATACGCCGGCAAATACGGTAGTTATTTTTGCAATGGTATAATTTGATAATCATACATTGACAATCACACAGGAATATATTCTTCCAAAAGATAGTGGACTACTTAAACATATCAATTTAAAATAATTGTTTTTCACATATTTGAGTGCATTGTACAATAAAAATAAGTTAACTAGACTACAATTATTATTTTTTGTAGTTTTAGGGTTGTTAACTAGATTATAATAAATGTTTGAGGTTTAGAACCTTGTAAAGCATGCAGCCATGGAAATAACTCAATTCTCAAGCTTTGTAGTCTAAGCAGTTTGGCTTTGGCAGACTTGATTACTTTACTTCCTGGAGCTTCCCCTAGAATGAGTCATAATTAAAATTAATAATATTTCCTGCTTCATATGCAATAACAAAGCAGAATTAGTTGAAAATGAGCAAATACTTCATATCTTATTACACTACTAAAATGGACCTGTATTTTACAGTGCAGCAAAGCATCATGTTCCAGCATACTCTATCTCATTGCAGTCATAAACTCTTTGCTTTGTATTGCTTCCTATTTCTTCTCTTTGATTCAGCAAGATTAAAGGGTGTATGTCTTTGTTATACTAATTATTCAGTAGTCAATAGATTGGAATGTATCATTCGGTCTACTGTATTCATTAAGTTCTGTTATCTAGGCAACGAATCCAGTTTGATGTGATAGTTAAGGCATTAGAATTAGAATGGGTGGGTGACCTTGGGCCAATCCCTTTCTCTGGGCTCCAGGAAACAAGAAATGGTAAAAATCTTGCCAAGAACACTGGAGGGACTAGTCAAGGCAATTGTCAGGAATCAATACTTATTTGATGGTGCACACATACAGGTAATTGGAAGGTTGGGGCTGAGCTATAAATATATCTTCCCAATGTTTAGGTATCCCAGAGATACATAAAATCACTATGTCATTATTTCAATGTTCTGTCAACTCATTTGCTCAGCTTTGATGTATGTACAGAGAACGATAGTGTTGAAGTGCTGCTTCTGGGCTTTGCACAGTATTACTCTGGCCTTTAAGGTTTGGAAATGGTGTGACACATGCATGATTTAATTGATGTTATTTTATACAGTAATTTGTTTTCTCACCCTTAAGAACATTTTTACTTACTATAATGAATTAGGTGAGCTGTAAAAATAAATCATGTTCAATTATTAAATTTATTAAAGAATAACGACTAAAAATATTAAAACATATTAACATTGGGATTTTATAGTGATGCATCATTTATCCAGTGAATTTAAACATCTAAAAAAGCACTGGAAATGATGGAACATACTACACCAAAGACAGCCAAGCATGAAATATTAATGTAATCTTGGATATAGTAATGTACATTGTTACATAAAAAAATCCATCTGGAATTGTCGTATCAGTCACCAGAAACCTTTGATGAGTGGGTACAGCTGGGCTGCCTCTTCTGGCAACCATGGCTTAGAAAATTGTACATGTGGTTATCATACTTTATACCATCTGCATTATGCCACTTTGTTCTTTATTTGCTGGTGTTTATTGTACTGCATATAATAGCAATCAACAGCAGCATACATTTAAAAAATCATTTCCTCTGAGGCCACAGATTCTGATGTGTATGTGATCCAGCAGCCTCTTATGCTATATTGTTTTGTTATTAGGTTCCCAGCTTTATTCTTTCCATACTTCATTTGTTCAAACTGAAGCAAAGATTTCTATTTTATATACTAATAACTAAAATAAAGGGATTATATGTAATTGAACCATTTCTATTAGAAATAACATCTATTTTCTCTTGTTATAAAAGAACAAATAAGGTCCACAAACAAGAGACAGGTGCAAAAAGTTATATTTATCATGGAAGCTTATAGTGTCTCAGGATTCTTTTAATTTAGAAATATGTTTTCTAATATATTGTAAGAGTTAAGTTGAGCTCACTATTTATTATCTGAGAATGTTTGTCAGTTCAAATTTTCAACATTTCAGTAGCAAAATTCTAATAGAAGAAACCATTTGTTGTTGGAAGAAAACATATTGTACTTGATTAGTTACATAATTAAGTTTTAGAAATTCTTGCCAATAGGCTGTAAATCAATTTATCAATAATGGCGTATAAAATGTTTTGAATTACTCATTTTCCACTTGAAACCATTGTTTCAAATTCAAAATAGCTGCTTGCATTTGAAATAGGTGGTTTTGATTGTTCTGGTAACATTTTAAACTCTGAATATTTAAAATACCCCAATATGATTAAAATATCCCATCCTTAGTGTGAAACAACTATTTCGAATGTCTTATATAAGAAAGAAACCAACAGGCAGACATTGCTGAGGATATGTTGTAATTGGGAAGAGGGGAATGCTCCAAAGGCTATTCTTTTGCGGAACAATTGTCTTCCTTGGCATGTAGCACTACCTCCAGTAGAGCATCTGATGATGGTTTGTTCAAGTCTGTGGGCATGCAGAAGCAAATTTGAAATTAAATTTGGTTGGAACTTGGAGACTCTTTTTCTAAGGGGTGGTGGGAGGGGGAATTCACTGGGTGCCCAACAAGTGTCTGGGAAGCAATTTTAAGAATTGTGGGTGCATATAAATGTCCCAGGATAATGTTGCAGGATCCAATCTGGGTCAGTCTCCGGGACCAAAGGTTTTGTCTTCCAAGCTTTCAGACTCATGCTGTAGTCCATCCTCAGGGAACTTCTCTGTGTGCTTTGCTGTGTGTTGCATTTATATGGCCGCTGTTGTGTGTAGCTTTTTAAATGTAGATTGGGATGTTTAATAGCCAGCCAACAATCTATATCTAAAAAGCTACACACTACAGCTACCACATAGATATCACCCATAGAACAGCACATAGAGAAGTTCCCTGACAAGGGACTGCAGCACGAGTCTGAAAGCTCAGAAGGCAAAACATCTGGTCCAGGTGACTGACCCAGATTGGATCCTCTAAGACTTGTCTACCTTTAAGATGTTCAATACTGTTTACATGGACATTAATTGTTTTAGTCTTACAATGAATTATGGGGGTCTTTCTTTTCACATAGTTACTGAATATGAAGGTCATGCTCTTACGCTGCTCAAGGAATGTGACCTAAATTCTTTCCATGGGTAAGAATTTTTTAAACCTTCTTCTTTTTACTGTAAGGATGCTGTTAATTTGAGCAAAAGGCTGATGAGCACTGGTCTTTTTTTATAATTTGTGAATTGTGTGCATTTGTTTCTTTGCTTATACTCTGACCAAATTGTGTACTCTGTGTAACTCACATAAAATTATACTACCATAGAACAACATTTTAGTTATAGGGCAATAAAATCATAATTTAAAAGAACCCGCAAGAGAGTCATCTCATCCTTAAGGCTTGAAGAAAAAGCCAATTATTATAGCTTTCCTGATACTTGAAAGTATCAGATAAGTTGCTCCAGAGAGTCAGGGCAGGGGAGGGCTCCCACAGAGTTGGTCTGCTTTGGCCTATCATCCTCCTGACATTCCTATGGGAGAAGCCTCACAGAATGCCTTCCTGGGCTAATTGCACAGGACAGAAACATTTTATTCAGAATGGACTTTTCATAGACAATGTGGATCCAACCTCTATAGGGCTTCATAAAAAAAAATGAGCCATCAGAATTCTGGAACTGGGTTGTAAGTACCTTTTGGGAGGTCTGTCGTAACTTGGAATTGCTAAGAGACTGATCATAAGTCAAGGACTACCTATATTGGTAGTCTTGAGAAGCTGCCCCAAATAATGCAGTCTTATCCTCCTCTAACTAGACTGCAATTGATGTATCAGTTGAAGCCTGGCAAATAATCTATAATCTATCCTGTAGTCAGGTAAGAGCTATGAATGTGGGAGACCCTTAAGCTGTTGCTCTGCATCTTGAGGAAGAAAGCAATCCCACCCAGGACCAGCATCAGAGCTACTAAGGAGTTGGTCATCGTAGCCATCCTTCTCCAATAGAATGATGCCTACCTTAAACAGAGCCACTAGATGATATTCTGCCAGCATGACAAACTTGGAGAAGCACAGATGCTTTGCTGCCTTTATCACTATAGTACAGGCCTTAACTTGGCTTTTAAGGTCAGAAGTTCTCCCAAAGTAGTCTACAGTCATAAAAAATAATGCTAAAATTCATGAAATAATAAAAAGTGGGCTCACATAAATGTCCCCATATAGTCACCGTTATAAGTCATAATTGGTTAGAAACCAATTTTTGATACAGAAGTTCTAGTATGCAAAAAAAATTACATCAAATATTATCCTGAGAAGAATTACGAAGTCTTTTGAACAACATATTAGAGCAGCAATCCCCAACCTTTGTGGCTTGGCAGCCTGGGTGGGGGAAGGAAGGGGAACTGGGCTACATGAGCGGCAGGCCAGTGCGCATGCACGTGAGTGCCTGCTTATGCAAGTTGAGCTGTGCACGCATGCTCCAGCCAGCCACTCATGCAGCCCAATTCCAAATAGGCCACAGCCTGGTACTGGGTCATGGCCTGGGGGTTGGAGACCCTGTATTGGAGCTCATGTTCACAAAAAATGCAATAAGTATTTGCAGAAGAGAAAGGCTAACAGTATCTGACACTTTCTCATTTACATTATCATCTGCTTAGATCTGCAAAAGTTTTTGGTAGTACACCTTACAGTTATCATGCCCCTTTGACAAATTATTAACATTTTAATAATTGGAAAATTGTACAAGAAATAAAAGGGGTCAGAAAGGTATCTTACTGAATAACTCTTCTTATTTGATATATTGTCTATATTCTATCTCTGATAGAATTCATGCCTTTTTACAAATATGTAATAATGATGAATTTTTGAAAAATTAATTACTGTTACAAACGAGGTGGCTTTTTAATTATAATGAGAACGGTATTCTATATAATTCATTATTAGGATGCAATGCAGATTGATGGTAGGGAAAAATGGAAAAAAGGATTGCAAAGGAGGAAACTGGGTGATTTTTTAAAAAAAATGCATATTGGGTGACCATTCTTATCAGCCTTCACTAATTAAAAAAAAGTCAAAGTGGAAGTTATTTTGTCTGTAGAGATAAAAATTAAACTTGGCTAATAAGCTATCTGGAAAAGATAATAAATTTCTAATAATATCTGATGCATGACTCTAAATTGTCTCACATATGTTATTTCATTATTTTGTAGGGTGGTTTGTGTTGGTGGAGATGGCACTGTCAGTGAGATTGCTCATGGTCTTTTGGTTAGAGCCCAGATGGATGCTGGAAAGAACTGTGATAATGCACTTGTACCAGTCAAATCACAACTTCCACTTGGGATAATACCAGCAGGTGAGAGTACATAGTTGCTAATATGAAGAAGATTGCATGAATAAGAATCTCTACTAGATCTGATAATAGGTATTATGATTTTTTAAAAGATGCATATTGTTTTGCTCTTATTGGCTGTTATAACCCTTTGCTTCAGATGAACTCATGATACATGACTTGTCTTGTTAATTCAATAATCTTTAGCTATGGAAATTATTTATTTTGTCATTTTCACACATTTAAGTATGGTTCCTATAAAATCAGTCCTTGCCCTTAACTTAAAAGAGCCATTTATGGAAGTACTGTGTAGCCAATGTATAGCCTATTTCATTTTATGAACAATGCTGAAAATACAGCAAACTGAATCATCTTGGTTAATTGTTGTGAGATCCATGTGCATAGATATGGCAACTTTGAGTGATAAGGTCCTACTATAGCCTAATCTATCACTAGTGGTCAGTTTATTCATATCACTCATCAACTATAATAACGATTTAGAGCCAATGTTTATGTGCTACTTCATCAATTCAAAAGTAAAATTTTAACACAAAGAGAAGACTGCCCCTTTTCCCTACATGTCACCAGATCTTCTTTGGAAGACCAAAGCTTTCTGGAGCAGATTATGATACACAAGGGGAAAAGAAATCAGTGTTCCACGTCTTTCTCCCATGAGCTGTTCAGAGCATTCAGTAGTGGGAGGTGCTTCAGTCTCTGCATGTCTAGGCTGGGCTTAATTTGTGGAACGCTCCTCCTCCTCCACGGGACTCCTCCCCAGCGTTCCCCAGTTTTTGGCTCAGCCTCGTGAGAGATAGGCAGTGCTTGTGATTCTTCCTTGGCTGAAACAGTAAAAAAAATTCTTTCCTTGCTAGCAGGTTTGAAAGTTAATCAGCTTGTCTTTAGAATCCTTTAGTCTTCTAATTGCATTGCGATCTCTCGACGTTGGCTCCTTATCGGGCAGTCGGAGATCGCTCGCATTACAGGGAAACGCCAATTTGCGCCCCAAAGCGGCGGGAGGCTTCAGCGCTGCTCCGCGCCCCCTCCGCACAACTGCTCTTTCTACCCCTGCCATTCCGACAGATAGCCGCAGAGTTTCTTTTACCCGAAGAGCAGCGTGAGCTCTTTGCTCACTACGGAGTCGTATCGCTTTCCTTCCCCCTCTGAACGCCACTTGGGATGGAGGATTCAAACGCTTAGTGCCTTCCACCCTTCCCCGCCATTTAGCCTTATAGGAAGAGCCATCGGAGGCTATTCCTTCAAACGGCAGGAGTTTGCTGCTGGGGAGCGCGCCAAAAGATTAACGACCGGAGGCCATCTTTTCTTACAAAGACCCCGTGGCCGCGCTGACTGTATTCCATTTCGTGCTGTGTGAGGTAACTCTGTCCCGAGCAGAGGTTCCCTTCAGGAACACTGGGGATCATTATACCCTCGTCTTGGTTTTTTTCTACATTCGAGGCTATTCCTACAGTTAATTTATTGGCTTAACCCTCACAGCCCAATCAACCCAGTGGCACAACAGCGAGCACCTAGGCCTGTGTCCGCCTGTGCAGGGAAGCTGTTGAAGGCCTCTACCCTTATCAATCTGGGCCTTTAGGCCTTCTCAATTTGTCTGTTTGGTTTCTCAGCACTTAGCATCGTGCCATTTAATTAATATTCATATACATATACATACACACACACACACACACACACACACACACATATATATTAGTGGTTATTTTTAATATCAATAAAATATTATTACTGAGATACGACTCATTATAGATAGGTGTTGTGATTCCGGCATCTGCTACAGGTTTTTTGAATTACAGCTCC